TACCCCCGGTACCCCCTTTCCCGCCCCAACACACACACAGGCTCTTTATAAATAAACCTTTTTCACTGCCTGACTGCCAAACTCTACTCTGCAAATTAACTAAAACGTTTACTGCACAAATCAGCAGTTGACATGAAAATCCAAGTTGTGTCACTGCAGAGTTCTCATATTTTTTATTCAGATTAACAAATGTTACACTAAAACGTCCAAATACCTTTGAAATTTGATCTAAAGCTTTGAGAGGAATGACTTTGGAGTCTCTTGGTCAGAGACACTTTTTTTTTTTAATTACAAATCTATGTTCAGAGAGTCAAATCCTCTGTTCAGTCAAATTATATGTTGTATAATCACAACATGTGAATAATGTTAGACTAAACGCAAACAGATACTTAAAAGAAAAAAAATAATGGATCTGTCCCAGTTTTTGAAATCCACAAAATCATGTTTTTTAGCCAACGCTAATGACGAGCTGTGACACAAATCTAAAGCAGACACAGTTACAGCACAGACGACATTATCTCAGCAGGACTGCTCCAAAGTGGCATTAAAGGTATGGTTTAAAAGTTCTAAATGTTTTGCCTCGGCTCCCACGTGGGCCACAAACCACCATTTCAGAAACCCAGCTTCCTCAATGTGTTTTTAAAACATTCTCTTATGATATAGTGCTAGGGTTTCAGACAATACCACAGCAGTCCAAAAAATACTGTGTATTATTCTCTATCATTTTTCAATATATTATTACATATTAAAAATATTATATTTAAATCTATTACAGCATCAATTTTGATTAAATTGTTTTAATGGTCTGCATGTTGTTAGAAGAAAACTAAACAGTTAGTGTGTGAATGTGTGTGTGAATGTGTGTGTGAATGTGTCCATAGAATGAATGGAGGCTCAGTGTGTGTGTCCTACCTGTGCTGTATCAGTCAGTCAGTCAGAGGGAGAAGCGTCAGCGGAGGATACAGATCCTCTCTCTCTCTCTCCCCTGTATCCAGCTGTGTGCTGCAGCCTTATCAGCCTCCAACCCTCCAACCTCTGTCTTTATCACTCTTTGCAAAATTTCTCTCCTCCTCCTCCCCTTTTTTTTCTCCCTCTTCTCTCTCACTTGGTCATTGTATCTCCTCGCTTTACCCTCCTCTCTCTCTCTCTCCTCCCCCTCCCCTCCTTCTCTCCCCTGCCTCTCCTTGTATGGGAAGGCGGTTCACAGCCTCGCTCCTCTCCTCCACCGTCCCTCACTCACTTCTCCCCCTCTGTTCTCCTCTCTGCAGCCCTTTGGTGGCTGTGTAGAGTCACTGTCATAATTGCTGACAGGGTAATGGACACCACATTGGCTCCTTCTGCACGTTCACCCAGCAGCGCTGTGTGTTTTCTTACCCCCTGCACCTCCGTACATACCTCCAGACCTGGCCTGCGTAAAGTGGCTGAATTATGGCGGTGAAGTGGGATAAATCAGGAATACAACTTTGTGAGCGCACAAACATGCAACCTGGGGAAGAGATCAGTGGAGACGAGAGTGGAGAAAAGTTAACTCTTCACTTCATTTACTGATTGGGAAAAATCAAAGGGGTTTAAATGGCTCGGCTCCCACCCCCACACTCAGATCCAGCTGTGATGTCAGCTGAGGAACCCCTCTCCCTCTGGCCAGGGTGTGCAAGTGCATGTGTGTGTGTGTGTGTGTCCACCAGTTGTTCCCACAGCTGGTACACACATGGACGACCAGGGAGGTTTCTGTTACCGGCAGCCACTCACTTATCAACGTGTCAAGTCTCAGACTGAATGAGTCTTTGAGAACTTGTGCGTAGTTTTTTTTGGGGTTTTTTTGCGACTTCTACTGGACTCCTAACTGTTTCCTGTTCATTATCCATGACTGTGATGCGCTGCAGAGAGGTCGACCTGCAGTTCTTAAATCAGCAGCTAGGTCTGCTCTATGATCACATGTGTATTCCACACAAGCTGCAGTATCATCTTGACCCCACTGACACCGAGCAGGTCTGAAAGACAATCCTGAACCTGAAGGAGAGCAGAGCTCCAGACTAACGCAGCCACGTCAGTTCAACCTTCAGGAACTTTTGAAAGAGCATAAAAGGAACTACAAATGTCAAATTTAGGTTAATCTCATTATGTTTGGATAAAAAAAATATTTTAAACCAATGGAAACATTTACTAAAATCAAAGAAACCATATAATCACAATAAAAGTCTGTTCATTTGACTTAAATGCTTCAATTTCAATAAATGATCCTGTAACTGGCATTAATGCACTTACATGCTAACATTTTTTAGCCACTTAACTAGAATGGAGATCGCATTATTACTCTTGTTGGGTGTAAAAAAAAAGTATATTTCTCAGTAGCTAAATTGAAGCAGAAATGTAATTTTCACGTCATATTACCACAACAACAAAAGCCATAACATAAATCCAGATATTAATTTGGAAAATTCATGCATTCTAGCATTTTTCATCTTCCAGACCAGCAGGAGTCAGTGTCGTACACAACAAGATTTCTCTTTGGGCAGAAGAAAAAGGAGAGCTTTACTCACTTTTCTTGCATTTCTGTCTGTTTGTGGCTGAAAAAGAAGAAAGAAAAAAAGAGTCAAAAAAGAAAATCAAATGGTTATCATTTTATGATTTATAACATAAAACCTCCGTCTGTCTTTCATTCAGTTTTATTTTCCTTTGAAGGCAACACAGGCCTGCGTGGTGTGTTTTATTTGTTACATGCAGGAAGTATCTGCAGCCTGTGAACAACTCAAATGTCCATTAGGACGCATGCTAAAAGGATAACATGACACAATTACCTTCAGTGTTTACGGTTACCATGTGTAACGTCTGTGTTTGTTTTTCTGTGAAGTGTACTTTTTCTCTTCATCTGTGGCCTTGAACGTGTCAAAGCCGTTGTTTCCCATTTGTTTATTTGTCTCATTTTCCGCGCACTTAAAAGAGGGTTAGAGGAAAAATCCCAGACTCTTGTGTTGCTGTCTGCTAATTAATGACAATCAGCTCAGGATCCAGATGGACTGGAGGTGGCTGCCAAACACACAGGTGTGCATGTGCACGTGCACACAGGAAGTTCTAAAAAATTTGGCGCAGCACTGGCAAAACCCGCCGGCAAGAAACCTCTGCAGGAACTCCGTGATTACTTTGATCAATGCGTTAACCCAGTGCCTCTCAAAGTGTGGGGCGGGCCCCGCTGGTGGGGCGCAGAGACGTGACAGTTGGGGCGCAACAAACAGGAGGAAATGTTCAAGGTTCAAGTGATGATGGAACAACTGCATTATCATTTACTCTTTTTTTAACTTTGTGTTATTAGATTTTTTTTTTTTGGCCAAAGAATTGGATTCTTGACCTTAAAAGTCTCTCTGTAAGCTCAATCAAACCTGCTTTGATAGAACTTATCCTGACTCAGAGCAGAGCCCCAGAAATCTCTTTATTTCCTGGTTAAGAGCAGGCTTCAGAGAACTGCACCCTGTGATAGCAGCAGTGTTTACAGCAGGAGACGTAGTAATGAGGTAACACACACACACACACACACCAGAGGACACCAGATACAGCAGCAGACCAGCCACAGGTCGCCTGACTGACGTAAATCTCCCAGATATTCACTGGTTTTCTTCCTGTCAATCACGTGCTCACGTCAGCGCTACACGAGCCAAGAGAGTGGAGCAATGAGAGCGAAACCATGAGCTAATCACAGGCCGCCACTGTACCAACTCCAGTGTCTTGGTTTCATCACCACAAAGACACACAGACAGGAGGAGAGACCGCATTAGGACCAGATGGGCGACATCGACTGTGAACGCAGCTCCAGTATTAATAAAGTAAAGGAGGAAAAATAACAAGCAGACAGCAGAGTGATTCCCTCTGATCCTCAAAAACATCTGCTGCCCTTTATTAGTCGCAGAAAAAGTCGAATCTTTTGTCACTGTCAGGTTTCCTGAGCCCAAAATGACTCGGGTTTTTCCAGTGATCTGGATGAGCTGTTGACAGGTGATACTAGAAAGTGAACGTCCAGAGCAGCGCAGAGGTGCAGATTGAATTGCCGTAATGATTCCCAAAGAAAAACCAAAAAATAATGTTGAATTTATACCCCCGAATTAAACCGAAATATTTTTGAAGTCCTGTCTAAATATGCACCGTTCTGGATATAAATTCTATTGTTTTTCATTTAATTTCTTTTGGCTGAAATGGAGGATCGAATAGTTTTGCTGATGATTTTATAACTTTCTGCTCAGCTGAAGGTCAGAGCTGTTGTTGACTGTGTCACTGAGTTTGCAGTGCCTTTGAGCAACAGCTCTTTGTAACTGCGTTACATTTTGCACGTGTACCGTTACATCTTAATGTTAACGGCCACGTAATTACCTCATTGGACATTTAGTCTCTCTCTCTCTCTCTCTCTGTTTTTATAATCTGTTGCTATTTTCATGTGGAATTTCGCATCATTGTTTTTATAATTTGTTGCTATTTTCATGTGGAATTTTGCATCATATCGTACCCTGACAGAATAAGCCACGGTGAATCAAAGATCCAGTGTGTCTATATTTATATATATTTATATATGGACAAACAACCATTTACACTCAACAATGAACTCAACGCAGGACGTTAGAACCATCAAGCACCAAAGACAACTATCAACTCCCACCAATCATACCAGTAACCTCCTAGCTGTCAGACAAAAGCATTAACCACTCTCCCACCATGTGGCGCCCTAACGTTGAACTAAATATAACATCAGAAAAAAAATCCTGGTGACAGCGATAAGTCAAATTACGGTCATTTTACCATAGACTTCCATTCAAACGGAGGTCCATTCAGATTAGTCTCCACCCACATCCGTACATGTCCAATGTACTGGCTTCAGACGAGCATGTCCATTATTTTCTATATGATTTGTTGTGCCAATAAAAGCCGCTCCACATTACAGGCCCCTGGTCAAATAAATACAAACACTACTGCTAATTACAGTATTTCTAAGGAAATACTGTGAGGACGCAGTCTTTCAGTGGCTGGAATAATATTTTATTTTTCCAAAGACAAATATTTATCCACTTGACTCCGGGCTCTGCAGTTCAATCCCTCCAAGTGGGACAGGTCGTCCGTCAGGAGACCAATCCATCACTGAGACATGTTAACGTGCACATCCTGATCTGTCAGGCTGCTCTTTCCCCCCACTGAGGCTCTAAACTCCCTGATTATGTTGTTTTTCCATGTCCGTTACATTCCCTGATGATTGTTGGGACATGACTTTTGATTCACTAGGACGAGGCCTTGAAATTAAAAAAAAAAGGATATGAAACTCGCTTCACTAAAGTGTGCAGAGCTCCGAGGTTTAACTGTGTACAGGTAAAGGTGGAGCCGTACACCTCCACAAGGAAACGGTCTGACCCAGATGAATAAAATGAACCTCATTTTAGTCTAATTTAATTTCATTTAACTTAATGTTTTAATTAGAGATTTTTTGTTTTTTTAAATAAGTATTTATTCATTCACTGGTTTTAATATTTTTTAGTATTTTTATAAATGTATTATTTATTTATTATTATGTCTCTCCATCATTCTAAACATAATTGTTATTGTGTTTTTCTGGTAGTGAAAAGGCCTAAAAATGTTTGAATCTGACTCTACTGCTTTGAACTGAAGGGAATCTGAAGCAGCCGGGCAGCAGCGTGGAAACCATCGCTGCTTCTTTACGGCTTTGACCTGATGAAATCCATGAGGCGTTCACTGCACCTCTTTCTCAACTTCCTTCTCCTGAAACTGAACAAACAAATATAAAAACCCGGCTGCACAGCATGGAGGTTGATGGGATACGGCAGCGTGAGGACCGCGATGCTCGTCCATCCGTCCTAAGTTGCACATTCCTGAATGCCTCTTTGAAATAAACGGAGCAAACGCTGTTTGAAGTGTGTGCGTGAAGGTGGTTTGTGAAATACCGCTCACTTCCTGGGCCTCCTGCACCCACAAAGTTATACACACACGCTTATGTAAGAGTAGATGTCAACTGGCCGTGACCTTGAGAGTGGCTGGCATGACATGAACCAGTACGACTGGAGCTCTGAACGTTAAAACATAGAACGAAATAAAACGTCAAAATATTAGGAGGAAAACACATTTTGGCCACAAGGTAAGACCAGGTGTCTGCAACCTTCAACACCACAAGAGACATTCGCACCAGAAGAATTATTTAATTTAACAATTTAATTTAAAAAAATACTAAAAGTTAAAGTTATTAATTTGACTTGCTGAACACCCCGCAACAACTGTGACTCCCAAAAGGGGCTCCAACCCCACTTTGGGAACCACTGCACCTCATAAACTTCATCAAGCAGCATCAAGCACACGTCAGTGGTTTAAACATGGTTAACCAAAGTGTGGCGCTAATCCAAAGAGGCTAAAGAAACTCTGCTCTAGACTCATCACCCAGGTAACACACTTGCTGCACTTGCTAGTGCACCACAGCACCGATCTCCAGCTGCTCCGTGGTGTTGTACACCTCCGACTATGTTATATATGTTTTTCAGATAATCCTCATCAAATTTTAGTTTTTGTTCGACCTATGAAAGCAGCTCTGCTTCTCTTGAGTTGAAAGACTACCACCTACTGGGGCTATTTTCTGCTTGTACACATTCCCACTAAGAGAGCTCCTAAAAGGAAAGGTCTTAATCAGGGGCACTGGGGGACAGCGGGGGGGACGTTATCAAGTGAGGACGATGTGTTTGGACATTTACGGAAAACATGTAAAGATTTTTAAAAAAATAATTTTAGAACTTTTTAACGATTTTTTTTTAAATAATTTTAGAACTTTTTGACTCACCCTTGTCGTACAGTGTGAGGTCCCCGCTCCAGTTTTTGAGGTTCTTGTCCTGAAAAACAAAATACAAAGCTGTACCGTATGAAATTAAATGATGGTGGATGTGTTGTATGTACAAAGCTGTACCGTATGATTAAAATTAAATGATGGTGGATGTGTTGTATTGTGGGTAATGTAATCACCTCAGGTGTGGAAATTGAAAGACATCATTTCTTGCTCCTGCTGCATCGTCTGTCTCGAACTGGGACATAAATTTAGGGAAGACGGTGGAGATGGTTTAAACATATGCTGTGTTTGAATATGTGTCAGAAGAGAGGGAAAAAAAATGAAGGAATACCGTTATTTATGGACATGAAGGTAGTTGGTGTAACAGTCCAGGAGGCACGGAGCAGGGTGACGTGACGTGACGGGAAACGGCCCAAAGAACTCTGGGTTTGATGAACACAGAGCAGCTGGAAACTCAGTGGATTTTACCTGTGCCATAAACTGACGAGAGAAGAAGTGACAATTTTAGCGTTGAATTCATAGTATGATTACATATACTGTCATACTATACAGTCATGTATACAGTCACCCCCCTCCCCAGTTTTTAGCCATGGCTTCATTAGCTGACACCAGTCAGTAAACTTCTGCTTTTAGTGTCTGACTCCACTTTAAGAGCAGGCTGCAGGTTATGTGCATGTGGTACCAATTTTAAGGCTGTTGATTCTCCCCCTCCACGCCCCCCATTCTGCCCCGTGGGCCTGAGCACAATCCCCCATTCCCGTACTCCCCACTTGTAAAACTGTGTCTCTCCTGGCACAACATCATCACTTGTTGTTTTCACAAAAACAGCTGACAAACTGTGGTACCAAACAATTCTGTAAACACGAGTCCACAGCCTCCAGCAGTGGAGCGTAATCACAACATTACGTCAAATGGAATTATCTCCCATCCACTCTCTACCACAACAGTCAGACAATGAAACGTTTTCACATGAAAACATCTTCCAGTTAAGACTTTAGTAAACAAAAAGTATTCCCTGTGCAGTCACAAATTTCGGGTGAGATGAGAGGAAAATGTCCTTAAAATGTTCCTGGTGGGGGTTCTCTGTATAACATTTTCAGTTAGGCTTCTCTAAAACCAAATAAATCTTCTGTGTTTAGTGTGTGAGGCGTATTTCAAGTGTTTGTCTATTACAGCCCTAAGTGTTTCAAAGTAGTTTCAGTTTGACACTTGTTAATATGAGTTAAAACAAAGTGCTCTGGAATGGGTTATCTGGTTAAAATAAAATACAATTCTGCAGAAAACTTTTTTATGCCTGAAGAAAATGAAAACAAAAATACTTTTCCTGACTTAAAAAAATACACAATAATACTATAGATAAAAAAGTTAAATTAAATGAACAAATATTTCAATTGAAATGTTAATAATAAAGCAAACACATTTTACACTAGGGTCGCTCTTTGCCATGCACAGGCTGGTTCTTAGTTTAACTACCCATCTAGGGTATCATACTTACTGATATTAAATGTGAATTTTTTTTAGTTAGCAATTAATGTTGGTTAATAATTAAAAACAGCAAGCATTTATTTTTTTAAGGTTTTATTAAAATACGGTGTGGAGTTTACCATTTGAAGTTACCATCACAAACATGATTGTTTCTAATAAAAAAGTAAACAAAACAAAATAAAGCTTAAGAGCCTAGTTACACGAGGAACTTTTTTTTCAGTTTTTTTTAATATTTTTGTTTTTGCAGTCTGGTGAAAAAAAAAAAAAGAAATTCACGATGAGTGTGAGTGGGAAAACAAACATGTTCACGTTGTAAAAATACATTTACCAATTTTAACATTACACGCGATCACTTCCAAACATTCACCCATTCTTTCATCCATTCATTCTTTGTCAGATGGTTAGATGTCAGTGCTAAAAGAAAGCAAAACAAGAAAAAAAAAGCTCAGACCTGTGCACAAAGGCGGGAATAAAGGAGCTTGATTCTTAAAAAAAACAAACAAAAAAAACAAAACAGGCTGTTCTACACACTGAGGGAAAACTCTGGATGAGGGACATGAGACAGAGGGCGACTGCTGAAGGATATGTGTGCATTTGAACCCTGAGAGAAAAAGTGACCGATTCTGACTGGAGAAAATCTGCTTTTTTCTTTTTTTGTCCTTCCTAGAAAGACCACACCAGTGTCCGCGTTGCCCTCTCACTCTGAGAGACACTTCAAGCGTCTCCGAGTGGCAGTGGTGGTGGTTGTGGGAGGGACGGCGACATTCTCACACCCGTGAGTGAAATATCAGCTGCGGCTTTGTGAGCGTACACACTGTGCTTATCTATAGGCCTGGGGATTTACACACTGCAGGGTTGACTTGACTATTAAAAGCAGACGGGAGGGAAAATAAAAATACATTAAGAGCAATGCACATTGAGAATGCACACGTTTGTTGGAAAAAAGAAAACCTAAAGACTTCACAAGGCTCAACGTGGTTCATCACTATAGAAATCCAAAGGTGCTGCCGATTTCAGACTCTGGGGGTGTGGAGAGCTTCTCTTGTTTTTGCGGCTTGCTCTGGGTGTGTCTCCTGACTTCACCTGCTCTGGTCAACTGTATTAAGGCAGTGAGTGGTTCCATGGCGACGTTCTATAACAGCTACGTTAACAGGGAGAGAAGAAGTAAGGCCCGGAGGACATCAGCGGGAGAGGACTTATGGTATAAGACAAAGTTTATATACATATATATTAAAAGGAATCACCAGGTGAGGGATCTCTTGATTTTTTTTTTCTTTTCTCTGAAATGTTTCAGTACAACATGTAGAACACAGACAGCATATCCATAAAAATTAAATCCTACATTAAAACAGACTGGGTTTTTATAACAGTGCACTGCTGAACTGAGAAAAATATATTTATATAATCATCAACAGCAGAATTTTAAAGATTACTATAATGCTTTTCAATCTGGACTATGGGGGTTATCTCTTAAAAAATATATACTCGTCACATGACAGGAGGAGCCTAGCATCTCAGGACAAGGACATGCTCCGTATCTCACAGACTGAAGGGAAGGGGGCAGAAAAAGAAAACTGTACATCACTGGAAACTGACTGCAACAAAAACATAACAAAAAAAACAACAACAAGGCAATTCAAGGTTAAAAAAAGCTGAGAGAATGAGAACATGGGAAGCAGTGGGGAACATCATGATGACACCAAATTTTAGCTAAAAGGATCCCTCCCCCCCAAGAATTACCTCACATGCACTAAGGAGAGACAAAGTGAGCAGCTTGACATTAAGGAGGAGGGGCGGGGGCAACAAACAGCACCTACTACTATTCCTATCATTAAAGAGAACTAGAAGACCATCAGACAGACTTCTGTTTTTTTATGTCCCTCATTTTTAATTAGCCAGTAAGACGGAGGTCAAACACAGCAACTACAGTCTAAAGTCTAAGAGTGGGGCCAGCATTGTGCTCCATTCTACACAATGGAAAAGGAAAATATGAAGCTAAAGGACACTGGTTTCTCAAGCCTGAGTATAAAGGTGGCCTAACGCAAACCTACACAGATGGGATTTTTTTTTTTTAAATCAATATTCAATGGGGCAACTTTTAATGTAATGGAATCGCTGCTACAATTTCACAACCCTTCTGGTAAAGAATAGTAAAGACGTATCTAGAAAAAATCTGTACAAAAAAATATAAGGGTATGCACGGTACATTCAATATCTGTTACTGAGGTACTAGAAAGGTGTTCCCTTGACACCAGGGTAACAGCGTTAAAGAGTTACTCCCAGGGACTTATTCCTTTGGAAAGACAACTGCTGTTATCATAGCAGAGAAGATGGGGGGAAATAGAAAGCATAAACCAACCAGCTCATGCACGTACACACACACACAACACTTTTCTCAATAACGCCAGAAGACAGAAACACTGTCCCTTCGCTCCTAAAGGGTGGTTTACTGTCTTATTCTGCTTACAGGAGTTGGTAGATGAAGTTCATGATAGTGAAGAGCGGGATGAGAGTTTGAGTGGGTGCAGAGTCACGGTGGTTGTGGTTGGTGAAATGAGACCGTGTTGTTGGCAGTGTGGTGTGTTTCTGCCCCTGCTCCAAAAGCTGAACGGTTAAACCTGTATCTTACTGTGTTCAGCTCTAAAGCAGGTAGACAGTGCCCTCTGCTGGTGCAGAATGGCCGTGACGTAGCGAGGTACAGTGTGGACAATGTGTAAAGACCAAAAAAAAAGCACTGTGGCTCTGGGAAAGTAGAAATGTATGATCTGTGACGCGATGTTTCGAATTTTATTTCCCACATAACCCACAAGGTAAATTGTGTCAAAAAACAAAACAAAACAAAAACAGTGGTGATCATATAAATCTGGCCAACCACAGCAGAACAAAATAAAGGATCTATTGTCTCACTCCATCATCAACTTCTGAAATCTTCAAACTGCCATCACTACGGATCTCTCTGCTGAGCAAGCTACCTGCCGGGGGTAACACTTAAAGCCAACCTGGACCGAAGGTGTTGTTAAAGACATAATGAGGACAAAAGGTTAGGACGTACTAGTCATGATGTGTGCTGCTAAAAGGAGAGAGGAGAGGACAGAGGGAAAAAAAAAAAGAAGAAGAAAGTGTAAGCAGTAACATGAGTCGTTAATGTACAAAAAGGGCTTCAAACTTTTCTGCCGCTGCACCTCATAGTCACAGTCGTAGAAGGACAAACAGAGGCAGGAGGCCGACAGGCCTCAGGTCAGAAATGCTTTTTTTTCCTCTTTACAAACAAAACATTAACATCTAGAACCACAAAAGATCAAATTTCCATTAAAACAAATCCAACTCAGGAAATAAGCCAATCACTGAATCCTTGAGAGCAGAGTTATTGCTGATGTTGTGAGACAGTGGAGGGAGGAAGGGAGGAGGAAGTTTGGGTAGTGTGTGTGTTGCTGGGTGTGTGTTCTGATGGGTTGTGGGTCAGATGAAGGGGGCACGGGATGTATCTCCTGGGCTGGTTGTGTGATCTGAAAAACAAGACTGTAAATCCACATCAGGTCAAACTGCTGCTGCCTGATAAACCAGGGAGTCGGGGGGACTGTGTCTGATGTTGGAAGGTGGGAGACTGGGGGGTTCCATAGGTGATGGAATGTGCTGGCAGTGGCAGGTGGGGCTATTGATCAGAGGGTATGTCTCTGTCGGCTTCAGCTTTAATGGGCTGCCCCGGAGAGGGGGCATGAGGAGGGTGAGAGACGGGGGCGATGCCATGGGGCAGAGAGCCAGAAACCATGCTTTCTACCCCTGCGCCTGCCCCAGGGAGACCCCCTGCTGCAACACTGATCAGACCGGGGGGGAATCTGGAACACAGGAAGTAAAAAGAGAACTTAACAGCAGTGAGCAGAAAAACAGCAACAGCAAAAGAGTCTCATGGATTTTTGATAGATTCAGACTGAGCCTCACCAGCCAATTAGATCTTTATATCCAACCCACCTGTATGTGGCTCCATTGAGCTCCGGAGGGACAGTGGCTGCTTCCATACTGGGCCACTGAGAGGCTGCCATGAGATACTCCTTATTCACACAGTTTTTCAGGCTGTCAGGGATTCGCCCTACAATATAAAGTTACCATGTCAGCAAAAGTCAACTAATACGGGCACAATATGTGGACAACATGGGAAATTCTCTGCTTCAAATTTCTAAATATTTTAAATTTCTCATGGTACTGATCAATAACGAGAACAAAAATTTTCCAAAACTCAACTCATGGTACTGATCAATAACGAGAACATGAAATATTTTCTCTTCTCTTTTCTTGACATATTGACAGGTTGGAAGAAACCATTTTTAATGTGTCACTTTCTATTAATTTCCTACCTGTTATGGCACGCCTAACCTCTCTGGCTGCCTCCTCACGTGCCTCCATAGATGCCTGCTCACTGTACCAGGATGTGTGCGGGGTACAGATCAGGTTGGGGGCGTCCTTCAGAGGTCCTGTTGAAAAGCTGTTAGGATGGAAAAAAAAACCCAAAGTAATGAGGTGTGTTGGTTAATATTTGTGTATATGCTTCGGTTGACACGGGCAGTTCACCATGTTTACCTGAAGGGTTCTGTCTCGTGAACATCGAGGGCGGCCCCTCGTATCCGTCCTTCTTTGAGGGCCTGAGCCAGCGCTTTCTCGTCAACCAGGCCGCCTCTTGATGTGTTTACAAGGAAAGCTCCCTGACGCATCTGTAGCAACATACAAAAGTTAAAACCATTCAAATATTTTATAGTAATTTATCGTATATTATTCTCTACAAAAATGGAGGTAAACACAAAGAAAAATGTCCCTCTACGAAACCAGTAACTGCTTCAGTACACATGTAATGGTACTTTTATAATGTAACATAAAACATTTTAAACCAGCTTTAAAGTTACATTAGATTTGATTAGATAACTGTATTTTACCAATAAATGCTACTCTTAATTCAATGATGATTTCAAATTAAATGGCTTACTGAAAAAAACTAAGGTCAAAACACATTGTGCTACGCAGATGCAGGGTCTACTCTGTACACACTTGTTTTATGGTGAAGTCATTGATGAGATGGTGGTTGTGCTCATTGAGGCTGCAGTGCAGAGAGACACAGTCTGAGTGAATGAGCAGGTCCTGCAGCGTGGCCATGCGCTGGAGGCCTAGTGAACGCTCCACACCATCCGGTAAGTATGGGTCATAGAAGATCACACCAAACCCAAATGCCTTTGCCCGGAGGGCCACAGCCTGGCCAACACGCCCTGCAAAAAAAAAAAAAAAGTGATGTTATTAAAAGCCAAGGCGTCTTTGTTAGAACAAGAGAAACCACACACAGGTCCCACGAGACATCTGCATAACTGACCATCAACTGCCAGCTGACAAACTGACACTCTGAATCAATTTGACACAATCATTGTCCAAACATGACTTAACAATGTGTACCGCGATCTTTAATCAAATGCATGCCTTACATTTCTGGCAACAAAAATCACTGGCTAATCTAACCACCCCTCTCCATCTCTTTCACTCACCAAGGCCAATAATTCCCAGCGTCTCTCCACGAATACGAGCGGCACCTCCTGCCACCTCCCTAATCTGCTCCACGCTTGAGGCCCGAGTTCCCTCTCTGAGGGCCTGGTGCATCCAGGTGACTCGCCTGTAGAGGTTGAGGATGAGACATAGCGAAGTGTCGGCTGTTTCCTCCACCGAAGCTGCTGGCACGTTACAGACAGCAATACCTGTAGTCAGGAGTAAAGAGGGGAAAACATTCAGCAATACAGTTCAACTGCACTGGTAAAGATGGAAACTGTCAACAGTTTTGTGCATCTCCTGTTGTGGCTCACCGAGTTCAGCGGCAGCTTTAACATCAACGTTGTCAAAACCTGAGCCAATCCGGACAATTACACGCAGGCCTTTGAACTTTTCCAAATCGTCTCGGGACAAAGTGATGGTATGGTAGAGAAGGGCAGCGACTGCCTCGTTTAACACCTAAAAAGAACACATGTATTGTAACAATCTTTTCAAAAAAATGCAGCAGAGTTAAAAACAGATAGACACAAAGACAAACTATATTTTCAAAAAGTCTAGGTAAGAGTATAAGCTTTACTACTTTGTCCGCTAATGCAATAGCTGAATATTTTTGTTTCAACAAATTGTATTTGATTTTTAAAATAGAGAAATTATACCTATATTTAAAAAATAGTATTATTACAAGACAAAAAGCCAAACGCCTTAGTTACATTTTAGTACATTTGATCATCACGTCATGAAGAAATTTGTGAACTCATAATTTACTACCATACAATAAAATATTACAGATCAGTTTCTGGATAATAAATACTTCACCCCTGTCTGTTTTGTTAAGGTGTGGTTAAAAACAGTGGCTCCTGTACCTTCTCATGAATTTCTTGTGTGGACTGGGCGTCGCAGAAAGCCACTGTTGCCACATCTTTAAGAATGGGCATTTCCACAGTACAGTCGCGCCCATCCAGCAGAGCTACCAGGGGCCGGGGGTGCATTGGCCCGTTCAGGATGGGGGGTCTGATACCTGTGTGCATAAGAGGGAGAAAAGGTATAAGGTCCTACGTGTGGAGATGAATTAAGCCAATGACACAAGCGTCACACAGAGATAAAAAGAAAATGCTGATAAATTAATTTGAAAAAAAAAAGTCCAAGATATGAAGGTAAGATTAAACTGTCATTGTAATTTTAAAAGGTGTCTAAAATTATAATTTAAATATTGTCTTAGATGTCAAAAATATGACACACTCCTGTTATTGGTTAAGACACAGATAGGTTAGATCAAATCCTTCATCAGCAACTTTCTGAAAGACAGCCACAAACTATGACAGAACCTCCTGAATTCTAGGTTCTAAACAGTCATTTGTGACCCCCCCCCCCACTCCCTGCTCTACTCGACAAACTGACACTTCGACTTCCTTATCTTCAGTACAGTCTTTGTAGTGTGGAATATTACCTTTTGTCTTTCTTGCCTATTTCTAACAACATTTTGCTTCAAGCCTTATATTTAGACTATTTTTGAACAGTGCAGTGTTTAGGAGGTCAAATACAATTCTCAGATATTGTTCTAGGACCTATTTATCTTAGGAAACCCACTCTGAGATACTGTTCTGTTTGGCTTGTTGGACTTTGTTGGTGCAAGATACCCTTTCTATTTCATGTCAAACTGACTTATCTCAGGCATTTTTGGTATTTTGTGATTGTTATCTGTGGAGGCAGGAGTCTAACAAAGACTGACAACAAGTTTTATTTAAAAAGAAAATTAAAGCACATTTCTTTTGTCTGTTTCAAATTCTCTAAGAAACAGAAGCCGAGCTTTCTCTTTTGTGCACTGTCTCTTCTATTTTAATTCACATTTAATTTTTCACTAGAAAACAATGCTTTATCTTTATGTTTAGGTTAAACTAGTTGGAGCAGAGTCTTTATGTTTAGGTTAAACTAGTTGGACGGCAATATTCACATGCTTCAAAAAGACAGTAAAACTAACATGCCAACTGTAAAATCTTGTACTAGTTCGTACAATTCAATACGGTGGCTTTCTCTGCCAGAGTGAGAAATGTATGGTCTTAATGAGAAACTCAGCAGATTTGACTGGGTTCACTGTACCTTTCACTTCAGTCATCCTGTAAATGTCACATAATGTTGCGGTCAATTGTGTTTCAGATCCTAAATACTCAGCCTGAGCTTTGTGACTCAACAAGCCTATATTTCCTTTATCAAGACGACCCCTTGTGACGCAAGTCATCACCGCCTCACACAAAATCCCCCTTCACACATGACTAGAGTTATTGTGGTCAACTGCAACGATGCTTTAGCATATATTAACTCACTTTGACCTCATGAATATATACATCTTCAGCAGCATTATGAAGGGTATTCAATTAAATCTAATGCGTAACTATCTTTGTTGGAGAACAGAGTATGTCCAATACCATGGTCTGTGTGTTATTTAGCTCTGGACCATCAAATTTTCCAAAAAAATTAATCTGGAATCAATTTCATGTTAGTTATATTAATGTGACTGTGGGACCAATGTGCTACATTGGGTTAGCAGTGAAGAAACAATTGCACCTATCAAGCAGGCATAGAGAAATTATAACTAGCAAGCATTGCTGCTGAGGAAAACTGCTGCAATTGAGCTGTATTGTAAAAACAAAAACAAAAATACAATAAGTCGTTTCAGATATTTTCCAAACAGAACGGACAGTTAGTCCTGCATGGTGACAACATAAACAAAAAAGCATCAGCTTTTATGCACTGTAGATCCAAATTAAATGAGGATGTTTTAATCATTTTGGGATTTTCTGTTCAGGTTTAAACCGAATGAAAAGTTGCACAATTTCCTCCATCAATATATCTCTGTTCTGCTTAAATCCCTGGTATGGTGTACGTCAAAATGTGGTTAATTCCATGGCCCTTCTAATTGGGTTTTTTATTCTTGGAACTTGACCTGCCTACTGTATGAGACACCCACTCACTGGAGAGGGTTCGGGGGGTTGATGCCGCGTGTCGTCTGGGGGAAGGGTGGAGAAAACTGCCTGGTCTAGGAAAGGAGGTGGCGGGGGTTCATCAGGGGGTCTGAGTCATGACCTAAATTTTCCCGGTTGGAAGAGTCTCTCTTTCTCTCTCCTCTTCTATTTGTCTATACCTTAAATTTAATACATACATACATATACATTTTGGACTATATGTACAAGATGGTCTTGAACTACATTTCGGACTATATGTACAAGATGGTCTTGAACATACCATCACTTCCTCAAACTGGCAAAAAAAAAAACAACAACACACGTGGCAATTTACCTGTCACACCACAGCAAATTACTATTATATCACACGGAAAACTAAAATAAACACCACTGATAGTAAAATAAGCATTGATGTCCAATCTTTCTCTTGCTTCATTTCCTTTTAGTAGTTTTTGGACATGTGCATACACATGCATTGGAACACTGTCTATCCCTGCTGTGTGGCAGGTGTATGTTCTGTCTCCTGAAGTGGGAGTGTGCTTAGCTGGTATATTTACTTGAACACAGTAGTGTAGGAGGAGGCAATGGTAGGACTGCAGAGGAGGGGAGCTAGCCGATAGCACCCGATGGAAAACAAATATTTGCAAACACTTCCCCATGTCTGACTGTTTCCCAGTGCATGTAATCAGGCAAAAAGATAGAGAAGCACCATGTTGGGGGTTCTGATAAAAACGTGGCTCCAAATGCAAATAGCTTTAGGAAGCTAGCAGGCCTACAGCAGTCACAGTGAACACACAAAGAAAATCTGACTGTGTTAAAAAGCCTAAGAGGAGCCGGTTACAAAGACACTCTGAGTCTGTCTTTCAGGAAACGTACAAAAAGGCTTTCAAACAGTAATATGAGTAAAGGACAGTGGCATACCTAGAGCCTACCAAGCACAAGCATGGCTGCAAACACAATACAATTCATTCAGCGGTTCATTCATTCTCCCCCCTCCCTCTCTTTCTTTCCCCTTACTCCCTCTGGCCACAGTTGGAGGAATAGAGGTGTGGGGGGAGGGGCAGAAAACGATGATAATGCAGCAAGCAGCAGCAGTACTCCACCCAGACACAGCTACACACACACACACCAACACTGGGTTATTCTGTTCCTTTCAAATGCTAGTACAGCACCAATACATGGTTCGCACAAAAAACCCACCATACACATATAGCAGCAACACACCCCAACCATTACACACCTCATCCACCTTCAACAGAACACAACATTTAAAAACGCATTATAAAATAAAAACACATGAATATCGGGCCTAACCTTGCATTATGAAGTCAGCCAGTCTGTCTTCCTCTCTCTCCCTCTCTCGCATTTGCTCTACTGCCTCTCTCCCTCGCTCTCTCTCTCGCTCTCTCTCCTAGTCTCTCTCTCTCTCGCTCTCTCTCTCTCTCAGATCCCAGCTGTCATCCACGCCCAGCACCTCCCCCATGCCCAACCTCCAATCACACTCGTTTCCACTGGGGGCCAGCCAACCAACACTAACCTCATCTGCATAGCCAAGGCTGAGGTCGAGGTTGGTTTAGACTGTTATCGTTTTTAAAGAGACAGCTGGTCCGATTCCCTGCCCCATGACCCTTCACCTTGTCTTCTCTCTTTCACCCGTCTCCTGAGAAGCTCCCAGACAGTTCCCTCCATTTTAGTCAACCATTGTGTCTGATCTCCAGTTTGTCAGAACTTCACTGAGAATACCTTCTATTTGGATGTAAGAACAAACTTATGCTCCATGCGCCTGTTGTCAAAGCAAGTTCTTAAACCATTATTTTTTGCCAACTATAGTTCTTAATTTTAAAATGCAATGAGGGAGGGTTTGAGAAAAAATAATATTCTATAATAAAATTGACACTATACATCACTTACTATGGTGAAATTCCAACCAACAGTGATTATAATACATTACTTCATAAAAAGATTTATTTAAAAAAAAGTGTGAACTGTTATAAGCAACTGAAGAATATTTATTACAAAATAAATGTTTTTTTAATCTTAACTAAATCCTTTCTTTGCTATAATCTACTGCAGAGCTTAACAGTACAACAAAGCACAAGAATACATTATAAAAGCTTTTTTATGATCACATGTGGGAGCGTGATTTTTTATTTTCATAAATTCTACCCTTACCTCTAAGTACTACAACTCCTTGGTTGCTTTTGCATTTAAAGTGAGAACAGCAATTTTCATTACAAAAAATGACAAATATTTCCATGCTCTTTTGAAAGGTCAGGAAGTTCTTCGCAACAATATTCAGTGTGTAATTTAACCAAGGACCATCAGCAACTTCAAACGCCACAATCACACGCAGAAAGGTCAAGGCTTATGGTAAACACAAAGTCTGCTGAAAATTATACAAAAAGGTTTCAATGAGGCACGTTTAGTGTCTGCAAGAGCAAGATTTGGGTTTTTTCTAGTATTACTTTACATTTTTCCTGGAGGATATAATGGCTGAACAAATGTTTTGATCACTCTAGGAGTTAGGGTCAAAGTTTAAAAAACCCACAAAAGAAAATATTTTTATCAGGAGAAATATCAGTGAGGAAACTTGATTTTGTCAAAATCTATTGATCTTGTTTTATTAACTGTATTAAATGTTTTGTGAAAGACCAGATACAAGTAACAAAAAACCAACACATAACATTTTGATTAACTTTGTGGATTTGTGAGCTAGTAAAAATTGTATTAACTTACCCTCACAAATACGATCAAGTCTTTGCCGCTTGACCTGTTTGTGTTTGTCCATCAGCGCCATAGACTACGCAGTCTTAACCTGGGACAGAAGATCAGATCCAAGTGATGTGAAGCGCCTCAAGTGAAAGGAACTGAATTTCTCCTGCACATAAAAACAATTATCAGTCACTTGATTCAATACAAAAATAAAGCTATTTCTCTACATATTTTCCATTTAAGTCTCAACTCCTCCATCTATCATATATATGTCCATCTCTCAGTTAATTTATTCTTGAAATGTGTCTTTCACATCAGGTGTCAACTTGTTTGTTAGACTACAAGCATTTATGTGACACGGACATGTACATTTAGCATATTTTGTATGAGCAAGAAGCGAGCATTAAACCTGCTAATAATGGTTAAAATGAAACAATGTGGATCGGCAGAAGTTCTAAGTTCACAGATTGGAACAGATAAAAGCCTCATTTTATGTGCTCTCAAAAAACGCTATTCCAAAAAAATTCCCAGTACAGTTTGGGCAGATTTTGTTTTATAAAGAAAATGTGTAGTTACAGTTGAACCATGTAATGATGTAATTTCTTCAAATTCAATTCTTCTTGGTAAAAGAAAAACAAGTAAAAATGAAAAACTCACCCACAGGGTATGATGTAATTTGTGTCAGTCAGGCTTAACAACCTAGTTTACACTGTAAACAAAAAAATAAGGATATAAGTACAGATGTGACAACAAAGTGGCCGTTAGCATATCAGAATGAGGTCGGATTATTACAGCAAATATGAAATCGCACAATCAAAAATCCCTTCATGTCTTATTTAACTCCCTCCATTTAAGGCATTTTAATGAAGAATTAAATGTGGTGTACACACTATACTGTGAAACATTGTAATGTAGTTTCCAATGGAATTTGTACAAAGAAGAAACATCTATGAACACATTCCATTCAAACATAATTGCTGTGATGACTTTTACAAAACTCAAGATAAACAAAAGTTTTAAGGTGTTACTGCCTTTGTTTCCACAGTCACACCCTTGCGGTTGCAACAGCAACTGTTGTGACCATGACCTAAAGGATTATTCGAGGAATCAGTGACAACGGCATTAGCTCAGATCTCAGTTGAAATACTGCTATCAACTCTACTTTAATCTCGTTTGTTTTCTCATCAGATGCATTTTTGTTTTCCTTTGAATCATTCTCTGTCACACATAAATGTGAAAAAAAAAAGATATATCAACTGGGATTATTTGTAGACTGTTCTACTCTGACTGTGTTTCCAGAAAGTAGAGTCTTGTAGGCATATTTACTATCTGAAAGTATAATTGAGTCTTGTAGGAACTGGGGCAGGCATATTTACTATCTGAAAGTATAATAAGAAAAACAAAAGGAAAAAAAAAAGTGCTAAGTAGCAAACTTCTCTATAGGTGTAATGCGAGTTATTTTAGAAGCGACAGATATTTGATGACTAAACTTTACATACTTATGTCGTTTAACATGACGTTTGTTGAATTTACCATCCACAATAAGACAAACCAATAACTTGCACAAAAAAGTTGTTTCTTGTGTAAATGTATACACGATGATATTTCACGAAAGACGCAACTAGAGGATAAAAACGTGAGTCCCTCGTTAGCGGCCAACTTACCGTTAACTGTCCAGCCTGGAAGCTAGCTAACCGTTTTCAAAGCTTTCGAGAATTAGTCTTTTGCAATGAATGGTGGATACACTAAAATTCCTACAATTTTATACAACAGACGTCGTGTGACAAACTTACCACACAAGCATTTTCATTTGTAATCATTCATTTGAAGAACACCGACAAAGTCGCGATTAGGGCTAACGCTAATCAAATACTTAGCTCTTCTGCTAGTTAGCCAATGGTAGCTCGCTAACCCAAACACAAACAAGGAAAAAACTTTAACAAATCGATACTTAAATTCAAATGTACTTAATTTCCAAATGTGAACGAATATATACTAAAATTTCACCTGAGGAACATACAATAACATTAACCATTTAAAAGTTGTACATGTCAGGCGTAATTGCTGCTAACGTTAGCAGGGTTAGCGCCGTGTGTGGCACAGTCAGGCGGAGCGGGAGCTCATTACACCCGATCTGTTATCTGCGAGTGGCGCTACAATGTGAAACATCTGATCCCGAGGCTGGAGAAAAATATTATGTTTCATTCTACAGTGACATGGGAATCTCCCACATGACCCAATGCAAGCATAAGTACTTTAAAAATCCAATGTAGGAATCTTGGAAAATGTGTGGATTATTTACCCCGATAAAACTCTTTGGAGAGTGCGGAGACAGTGTGCGTGCGTCGGTGCCGTTCCCTTTCTCCCGATCGCCATGAAATTAGACAAAAGAGGAAGTGGCCTGTTGGTGCTGGGGGTGTGGTGGCGGCGGTGGTGCCGAGGGGAAGCAGGCGGCCTGTGAAAAAGCATCGATGACCTGGAAGGAGCGCCCTCATCTCCCACGGCGGAGTCTCACGAAGTACACGGTTTTCACTGTCTGCTGTAACTGTTTCGAAAGGGATTCAAAACTTTTTTACAAGTGTACTTTAACTTTATCAACTAATGCATTATGTCAAACATTCTATTTCATTTCAGAATACTTAAAGTTATGACCAACAATCTAACATTGAGCTCATTTCTGTTCAAGACAACATATTATCAGAACATAACATCAATATAAGTGTATATATGAGTATCTGTAACTATAAATCCCAAGTCAGACATTGTTGCATTTTCAAATAAATCTGAAGTATTCACACCAACCACTAGATGTCACAAAAAACAAACAATCCCATCTCATCACTTTAATTTTTAATCTATTCTTATAGATTAGTTGTATTTTCTTTTTAATTATAGGCTTATAAATGTTTTAATTATTTTTCAACAAATATGGTTAAAGTTTTAAAAGCACCACTGGGTACATTTTAGGCACTTTAGGAGGTTGGACTTATTTTTTGTTAAACACAATAAGTTTCTTAGTCCAAAAACTCCATTTAATTCAAATGCACAAGACACGTGTTGGAATAGAAATATTCTCTATTAAAGTTTATTTTTCAAGAAATTGTGCAACAGCAATAATTCAATCTGAAATTACATGAAAAATCACTTCCTTTGGCCTCCAACAGTCACGTCACCACCATTTTCACTCAGAACATTGTCTCAACATCTGTACTCACTCAAACCACTGTACAGTACATTTCATTGTGCCCTATTAGGTCCAGCTGCAGCATCAGTTCAGTTATTTAACTGATAATTGTAGTGCATGTATTACCTGCTCAAAATTACCAGAATCAGCACAAACGAAGATCAAAATAAAATTATCTGGCTGTAAAAAGACCACCAGAGCCGTAGAATCTGTGTTTATGCTTAAGGCAAGGTCAGTTTACAGCATCATCAGCAAGGCTATGGTACGTTTTAATCCAAGCAATTGTAAGAACATTAAAATGATTTTTTTTTTTCTGGGGGAAAATATTCCATTTTTTATTTTTTTTTCTTTTTCTGGGGGAAAATATTCCATTTTTACAATGAAATGTTGGTCCACAAAGTCAAAACAAAGTAAGTAATGTTCTTTGGGCAAGTATGGGTGGGTGTTCTATACTGTTACACCCCGAAGTGTGGTTATTTTAATTTGGGCTGTGTATATGAATGAGAAATTTAGTAAACAATGTTTCGCTTTTCAGGTCAAAGCAAGACAGTTCAATCTAAGTGTGGTTAAAAACATATAAATTAAAATGTTTTTGCCAAATTAGGAGCCTGTGCCACTTATATGCAAAATAAATATTCTGCAAATACCTGCAGTTAAAATGGTCTTTGATAGAGATATGCAACATATTAGAGGTATATCAATAGTAAACAGATGAATTAAGACATTTACCATTGTGAAATTTAAGCTAAAAAGAATGCTTGAAAAGTTGCCTATTGGTCCATGCACATTTCCCCATGGAGTGTTGCTTTGGCAGGCACTGACATTGTGAAATGTAGCTCTCAATGGTTACAATCATTGTGTAGTTTTGATATTGGATAACTATAAACGTTGGTTCTCGATTACAACCTTTAAATGTAAGCCTTAGGTGATTAGCATGTTTCCAAGGACTCTGCCTAGAGAGCGCAGAAAAGCGTTCCGGTGTGCTTAACATAGTAAAGGATGCTCCTAAGACGCTGGAAGCAACAAGTGGTCAGTTTTCTTCTATGAGGTTCAAGTCCAGTTCTGTGCAGTCTCGTTCAAAAACAGTCTTTTGGCCCTCAGCCATCGCACTCCATGTTCTTTTATCTTCTTCCTCTTCATCCTCCTCTTCACTCTCACTCAGTGGTCCGATGCTGACTTGTCCCAAGAAGTCGGCAGGGGAGAAAGCGGAGACCTGTTCTGCCTGGGTCAGTGGAGCTTGGCAGCTATCTTGTCCACACAACAGACTGTCACGATTACCAATCTACACAAATAGGGGTAGAAAAAAAAAAGTGTTAATTAATTTGAAAATGGTGAAAAGGTCTTGGTCTAATTTTGAACATTATACATCACACAAAGGTTACTAATTTATAGAACAAATACATTATGACTACATAATAAACATTCACAAAGTGTTGGTGAATGACATGTATAGACTGCATTAGAAAAACGAAATTGATGGGGAGTTATTAGTGCATGTCATTCTGACAGTGTATAAAACTTTCAGTCGTTGGTTTGACTGTTAGCAATTGCCCTAAAATCTAACCTCTGACTAAAAGATCACCTAATCAAGGTGTCATTTAGGCTGCAGGAATCCGACCTGGGCTCTCAGATCTTGTGAATTTGATCAGGGATATATTAAACATCAGTATAAAACTGCGAGCAGAGAAAAAGGAGATCCAATATAACCATGGTTGTTGAAATTGTTTGACCTACACTCAGAGCCAAGACATATGATACCATTTACTCTGTGGGAAATTATGGAAATCATTTGTACCTCATTTGTCTCATGACCTAAGAACTCAAATAACCAGATAAATAAATGGGATTTAGCCCCAGTTACACTTTACATAACCTTGAGTTGTCTGTCTCACCTGTGTCATCTTGCCAAAGTCCAAGCCCGGTCTAGTGTAGGGGGGAACATCTGCATCATAGCGCCTTTTCAAGCGGGGTTTTCGCATGTCACAGGGCTGTGAGTGGCATCGTGGCAACGCTGGACGCATGTTACGCCTGGAGGAGGATGGGGTGCTGCAGGCTGATGTGGGAGACTGAGACAGGGCTGGGTGTTCACTGCCAGAAGAACCTTGTGCCAGAGCAGAAGCAGGGCAGGGTTGAGGGGGCCGGAGCACCACTTGAGTGTCTTGGATGTGCACAGGTGACAAGGAGAAGCGGCGCTGGAGTACTGAGTGAGGAATCAGCGGGGCAGGTGAAGAGGAGCATGACGAAGGAGTAGCAAAGGAGGTGGAGCAGGCTCCCTTCAGTGTATCACAGGGGTCCCAGGAGAAACTCCATGGTAGTGGGGAGTCAGAGGACAGTGCTAGGCTAAAGAAGGTCGGACTAGATGATGAATTCAGGGAAGAGGAGGTGAAAGAGGAACTGTGAGCACAAAGTGGAAACGCGTTAACTGCCGAGCCTGAAATAGAAGCCCCTCTACTTTGGCAGCCACGTTTCACAGGTGTCCAAACTTTGGATGCACTGGGATGCCAGTTAGAACGGCATTGAAACAGGTCTTCTGGGACAGAAAGGGACCGACAGTGGCGTTTCGGAGGGGGTGGCGGAGGAGATGTTTGGAGAGACTCATCGGTGAAGGAAACATGCATGCTCCTGAGGTGTTCTCTGGAGTGAGGGGGGGGCCATAAGGATCCAAGTCGACAGGAGTCATCTGGAGGTTGCCCTCTGGATGATGAGCTTGTGGCTAAAGTGGTTTCTGAAAATGTCAGTGTAGTAACATGAGAGAGAGCTGCCCGCTGAAACTGCAGAAGCGACAGTAAATGATTTATACAAAATGAACTTGCCTTGTCTCGACCTACCA